GGGTTGCTTTTTTATTATTTGCATTGTTTTATTTTCCTTGCTTTCTTATGCTTCAAGTTGCAAGACTGTAAAGCACACTTCGCTTGCCTTTCAGTGTTTGTAGTTGAAATACGTATAGAGAAGATATGGAATGAAGACCTAAAGGATACAACTAGTTCAGCATTTAACGAATTAGCCTCCGTCATTGAAACTGAGGTGAGAAATCCATGACTAATTGAACAGAAGAGCTGTGCGTCTTGTTTTACACGATTTTGTGATTCGCCTTCTTACCTTGAGCGATTTCGCTTAAGGAACAAAAAATTAATTTGATAATAAAAAAAAGAAAAAGAAATACTTTACGCTGTGATATCAAAATAAGACATTTTAATTGTTGATCGGCTAAATGCAAGTTCTCATCTTAAATCTTCTTATTGGAACTCACAGGTAAAGAAACAGTATTCTAGAGTAAAGAACTTTATTGGAGTAAAAATCATAGCATTCAGGTACGTAAGGTTGAAAGTGATGTGGGTAATGTAACAAGGCGATTTCTTACCCTTAATAATTATCTCTATCTTTTATTGCACCTGTTAGCTCAATTGGTAGAGCACCGGACAGCTGTGCATGAGGTCGAGGGTTTAAGCCCCGGCCGGACCAACACTCAGGGTCTTAAAATAAAAGAGGAGAATTTGCTATCTTTCTATAATATCAAAAAATAGATAGATATTCCAGTCTTCTCGGATAAGGACTAATAAACCGTAGGTCCCGTCTCTTGCAGGGTTAGGGGTAGGAGACTTTAGTTTCCCACGCACGAGACTACCGTGTGATGGATGTCGTCCCCAGGGGTGGGATAGGTGGGTGTTCTGAGGGCCACAAGTTCATTAGCTACTAACTATTAAGTGCTACCATCTATAAATAACGCTTTCTCTATCTCACCTTTTTGAATCTAGGCCTGGAAGTATTGTTGCTGAATTTAAGCTGCTATTCAACCAGAAAGTGTCCGATGACACAGCAGTAGCTCCTTTGAAAACAGCCGTGAAGGAGGGCAGCCTCGGTCCATTGATTGTCATCCCTGACTCCGTAAAAATAAAGATGGAACATGAAGGTAACTTGTAATCTCTAAAAAACAACTATAGTAGCAGTAACAGTCCCGTTGTTGCATCTACTGGAGCACCAGTAGGGACTGAAGCAAATGTAATAGCGAAAGCAGTCGTAGTAGCATTGACACCAGCAATAGCATTGGCATTATCATTTCAGTAGCAGGAATCACAATAGCAGTAGCAGTAGATGCAGCAACAGATGTAGCAGTGTAAGGACTTGCAATAAGATTAGCATTATCAACAGCATTGTAAGTAGTGGTGACAGTAGCAGTGTTATTACATCTATCCTTTGCATTTTCTTTAGATCCAACGAATGATGCAAAAGAAAAGCTTCATTACCCAATCATCATTGGGGCTTCCTGTGGCGGGATTTTTGTCATCGCACTCGTCAGCATTTGTCTCGTCCGCCACTGTCAGCGTCAAAAGAGACTTCAACGCCGGCGCGTTTCAAGCGGTATGCCTTCTGAAGTTCCTTTCCCTAATCAGGAGAAATACGAGCTAAAAGAAACGCGTTCTAAGGAAGACATAGTCAGTTTCGAGGAGCTAGGTCTCTGGAAAGCCACTGGTAATAACGAGAAGTCCAAGGGAGGAGCTCGTTACCAAGAAGTAGGCATCGCCAATATGGCTTCTGATAACTACGATCAGGAAATTGGAACGACAAGCGACCCCGAGCGCTACCAGGAGATTGGCATCGTTAAGAAAGCTGGAAAGTATTAAACGCCACAAGCAGCTTATTTTACAACTCGCTCTTGTACGCGCAGCAAGCCTTTTAAATTTTTTTTTATTTTTTCATCGTAGCCCTTAAAACGACACAAGAGCTAGGCTTAATATGTATTTGCCGTCGTATTTGAAGTGTAATGCTATTTGATTTTTCAGTCAGCAATTCGAAGCTTTCCACGTTTGTATAACTCCTTTTTAGGCGAACAGCCTTCATTTTATGTAGCTGAGCTGCAAAAAAAAACGAACAAAAAACAAAAAAAAACAAAAAGACAAAAAAACAAACAAAAAAAAAACAAACCAAAAAAAAAAACCAAAAAAAAAAATCCTGTCAATTGTAGCGGAGTCCATTTTCTTGTTTTTAACAACCCTGCCATAGAAGTGTGCACTTTTGTACTAAAACATAGAGCAGGTATTAGAAGGAATCCATTTTATCCTTTCTACCACTACATAGACTTCGGGAAGCTGTAAAATAGACCTGTTCCTTTTCGACGGTTTACGCAAAGCACCTTTAATTGTCGCTTCGTAGGTTTGATCATACTGAGGATAATTACTATTATTTTTTACGCTGGAGAAACGAGCTAGAAATTAAAAATTACTCGAAGCAGGGCTGAGTCGGAAGTGACTGAGTTAAATGACGAGCTCAGAATTCCGCACTCCAGGCTATAGCCAGTGAGTATCATCCAAACAATGCTTGCTTTGCTTTTGTTATTGTATAACCTTTCAGTCGTTAAACCTTCGTGTTTTGAAGACTGTTTTTATGCTGAATAAAATGACATATTCTGTTATTGTGCTTGTTTGTATTGTGCGTGTACGAAAGTAGAATTTACAATACGATTGAGTATATAAAGGAAATGACCTAACGGTGGCAACGCTATGTAGCTCAATACACTAAACACAAAACAATGGGCCTTTATGTTGCCGGCTATAAACGGTCTCAAAACACTTTCACTTAAAATTCGTAAAACGCGTGTTCCTTTAGAGAGCGTTTGAAGGCGTTTGGTCAGAGCTGTTGAAAGAGGATCAGAATATATGGAATATACATTTACTTATAGTGAAAGGAGAAAACGGGTTAACTTTTACGGAATGTTCAGTCAAAATCTGTCGATTTCTGCCGCCTTCACCACCTGATTGAAAATTAACGCTACCCCAATGGAAAGCAATTAGAGTGTGCACACCACCTGGATTGCATTGCACCAACTGCTACGAAGTTAACGAATACTCCAAATATCCAAACGGTCAGAAAAGTCGCTTTTAGGAGAAGTTTGACTCGTTTCCAGGACGACCGTGTCGTAACGGCCGCCGAACGTGCACATGGAGTTCTTGCCGCTGGTTCGAATGGCTTCAATCTAACCGGCCATTTGCAATTCTCGGCGGATTGATTCCTCGATGGCAAAACTTTTATGGAATATTTTTCAAATAAACTGTCTCGAAGCAGTTGGAGTTCATTTGCTTTATTATTTACCGAGTCAAAGTGCGCAACCGAAACTCCCAATACAAAGCTTTCTAAGATTACGCTCACTTGGAAACCTTATAAAAGTTGGCCTCTCATCGAGAGCTTATGCTGTTTATTGGCTTGCGGCATATTAACTATGCTTGCGGTTTCAGAAGGCGATATGATCTACTGGCGTAGTGTGAGTTGTTTACGAAACTTTGTGAGCTAAAATCTTTCATTTAATTTTTCGGGAAAATACATCCACTTTGAGCGAATTTAGAGGGTATTCAGATTCCACCGATTTTCGTCCAATTTCAATAAAGCATTCCAAGAATAACTGTCAGGAAATTTTGATATTTGAAATATTTGACCCGCGGTGTTCATTTACGTGACACCTCTCGCATATTCTTAGCTACTCCAACTTTAGATGCTGGTATCTAGACAAACGATCAGAATATCGAAAAGCCTGCCTCGTGAATAAGACTGATCAATTCAATGAGAGAACCCTCGGTCGTTCCCCGCCTTATCGGATCCTATTGCTTCCCAAGGGGAAAAATCGCTTAAATGATATTTTCTTCGTAAACTGCATTTATCAAGCTTTCTTCGGATGTATAGTTCGCGCGCGTGTGTGTGTGTTTCAGTTTGGGTGAAATAATTTATTGATCTCCAATGTGGAAAGTTAAGGAAGCATGGCATCTGCTATTGATGATCAAAAGTTACTGAGATTATCGTTAAATTTTTCTGTTTGTCTGTTTGACAGACCACCAGATCAGTTTGATATGTCTTTGATTAGGGAACTAAGAATAGTCGTTGAGCCCCCGGGGAAAGCCTTTATATTCTAATCACAATGAAACGGTTATAAAATATTTTGTAACTAATCTAAATAATCACAAAACACAGAATAGGAGCGGCATCTCGTTTATTGATGCAGCGAGCGTAAAGCGTTACAAAAACAGCATTACCATTTTACAAACTCAGAGAAATTACAACAGTAAATAAGATAAAAAACTAAGGTTGAAAGAGATGCCTCGAATGGCTCTTGCATAACTTAACGAACCTTTAAATACTGTACTAGCCCTTGAGACACCTTGCAAGCACGCTTAAAACACTTCAGCAGTAATAGATTTATGCAACCTAATATACATACTCTTGTGTAACTAAAAAAACGTTACAAAATATGTAGTGTGAACTTTCGGTGCGAAGCCGACTTAGTCAATCAAAGTATGCAGTCATGATATAATGTTTCGTATCGGTTTACTTGGTATATGGAAGGAAAACATATATTCACCGATGACATTTGTGGAGCATTAGCGCCTGGAAGAACTGAATGTGACTCTGTATGCCCTGGGAAACCATTATTTTCTCGACTAGAAGGCAGCAAAAAGTATTATGAACCAAACAGATTGGTAAGTCTTGTGGCACTTTAACTTGTCATACCGTTCTCTCCCCTTTTGTATAGTATCAATGATATTTCATGATAGAAATATCAGTCAAAAGGACTTAAGAGCGTGTCACGAGTAAACCGGGCAGAACTGGTTTACTCGTGGACACAAAAATTTGTTATACAGTTATGGCTGTATACAAATTTTCATGAAGAGAAAATTTAAAAAGTATGAACAATGCAATAAAATAAATAAATGATAATGATAGACGTTTAAGATGAAGACTGCAACTCTTTAGGTGTGCAGTATTAAAATAAACATTTTCAAAATTATTTTAAAACACTGACAGCTAAATTGCGTAATCTACAGCTAGGAGAGGTTAGAAGAGGTTATTCAAGGGGATTTAGGGACCAATCTGGGTGGGGGAGCTGGGCTGAAAATTAGGAATGACTTGTCAACATCCTCATGTTGAGGAGCTTCCACAACCTTTTATGTATCCATACATATGTTTCATCTTAATTACAAGGTCCTTTAGAGAAATGAAGATTTTGGTCTGGTGTCCCTGACATTTTCGTTTTTGCTCGCGTATCTCCAGAGTACTGTTTAAATGTCAGCCAAAAACATCATTTGGAAACCATTGTGAGGGACCCTGATGAGAAATTATTTGCCTCGTCCACACAGCCCATTCCTTAATTCGAAATTAGTGTCACTGTCCAAACAAAATGCAAAGAGAAAGCCTAAAAGTTAAGGTTACTTCCTACCGTCTGAGGCTGAAAAAATGTTTTTTTTTTCTTTTATGGGACTAGATTGAAGTTAGACATTTTACTCAACGTTTACAAAAAGAAAAATTTAAAAGTCTCAAAAAGCGTCCAACTTATTTAAGAAAACGTATATTCAAATGAAATTTAGCACCAAGAAGGTGTTATAATCTCGTAAATGGGCGAACCCCACGGAGAACATTCGCGGCAATTTCATGTTATTTGCATATCTTGTTTACAGTGTGTACTTGACAAAATTCACACGTGGAAGTTCTCTGCTTAAAGAAAGTCTTTTCTCATGGCTAAAAAACATAAATCAAAATTAGAGAGGAGTCCTTAGGCAAAGGTGTCATGGAAGTGTTAGGAATTTATTTATTAAATGTAAATTATTTTTTTTATTCTCTTAGGATCAGTGTAGTTCGTGATTATTTGTATCTGTTACGTAATTTTTATTCTTCACTTGTGTAAACTGTTGTGTAATTAACCTTTATTGTGTATATCAAATAGTTTTCTTCATTCTTTTCGGGCACCTTGCGTCCATGTGTATTTAAGGATTTGGGTGGTTTGGTACGGTGTGGTTTTTTTTTNTTGAATCTGAACTCCCCTTGCCTTCCCGGGTCCAAGATAGCGCTATTTTCGGGTTTTCATTTAATGAACTCTGGATCAGAGAGTCATTCACAAGGTAATGTATATGCGCACGCCCGATCGTGCAAACTCTATAAATCAAGGCGAAAATGAGCGCGAATGGCGCGACCAGACCTTGTGAGTGTTGTTGTGTGGGGGTAGGAGTCGTGATCGTCATCATCCATATCACTGCCTGAGTCGGTGTCGTATTCATCCTCTTGATCTGGCAGTTCACTAACGGCAACTATTTCAACCGCGCTATCGTTCACAAACGTGATGCTGGGTACGTGCGAGTTCCCATCGTCATCTGTGACTTGCGGCATAATTCGTTTCATTCCTTCTTGACCTTCAACAGTTGAGTCGTCGTGGAACATTACTTTGGAACGAGGAGGTTGAATGTAAGACACTGCTGGTGGGAGAGCTCCGGCTTTGTCTTTTGTGGTTTCACTCCGCTGTGTTCTCTGCCTCACTGGACGATATTTGTCCACCAACTCCTACATCGCTATCTCAATTGGAGGATCTATCCTCGCAGCTGTTGGAGGCTTCATAACTTCAATATCTGCCAACTCCATACTAGATGTTGGAATTGGATAAAAGGATTTGTCATGTTTAAGGTATTTGGCGCTCCACTTTTTCGTTCTTTTTAATGATTCTTTTGCAATTGTGCCAAAGTCTCGAGCATACTGTAAAGCTGTGAAAGTCTCGTTTTTAAAGTTGGAAACTGCATGAAGGCTTTCAACTACAGGGGTCAGTAACGTACGTTCTTTAAGGTCTTTTAACATAAGCATAAGTCACCAAATATAACAGTTATTTTCATTAAGAAAAACCTGGCTTTGAATAGCAAAACCTTAGCTTTTCCAGTGAATATTGCAATTTGCAATTTTTCTTCCTGCACTTTATGAATTTGAAAGATCAGTTGTCTGCTCACCACTGAGTTCACCCTGGGTTTCGTCAGAAACAAGGAGTGGAACCTCCATTTCTCATTGATGTTGCGTAAGGATATGTAAATTCTTCGTTTTCTCGTGGGCATACCTGGCCAGCCAGTACAGTTTGAACTCGAAATTTCTCATCCCCAATGAGGTGACCATTTGCGAAATACCAAGAAAGTTGATCAAATGCTTCTTTGCGTCCGTTATATTTCTTTGCTCTTTACCGATTGGAATTCTGCTTCGATGCCTTTCAAAAGCATTTTCCTCGCCACATCTATAAAAGCTGACTAATACTTCCACAACTCCCACCGATGCGGACGTGGCGGCATTTTGCATACAGAAGTATGCTAAAAACCGCTGACCACAAAATGTCTGAAGAACTTATGCGCATGAGCACAAAGTATGCATGCTGACCAGTTCGGTCAGTTCCGCGCAGGCTCTTCTCTTTTTTGTTTCTAGTTTTGCACCCTCTCTCATAGTAGCTAAGTTTGAAGAATCTTAGTCCTTTTTTTTCTAACATATTGCCTTCTTTATGAAACTTTTATCGATCTTTAATGAGTGAAATCACTGTTCTAACACCTTTAACACTTAACAGTTAACTTTTTTAAAACGCTAAACATTAAAATTTTACAAATTTTTAACACTAAACATTTAAAAAAA